ATGAGGAAAACTATTGAGGCTATTTATGGTACTTTGTTTTTTTTTTATAAATTATTCCCTCATGTAATTTTGGTAAACCAAACAAAAATAGTCTTGAACTAACTCTTCCATCTAGCAAACCAAAACCAAAGAATAACTACAAGGACAAATCTAACTCTTATCCCACTAAGTGGGGTCGGCTGTATGAATCCCATTACTCCATTACGATCCTTAAATACTTCATACCTTTCCTTATCGTGTTGTCTTTCACTTCTTCCTAAATCTTTCCCTGCCCCTTTTAATGCGTGTTTCCATTCCTTCTTCACATCTCCTCGTTGGCGCATCCGAAGGTCTTCATTCAACGTCACAAATCCATCTTGAGCGACCTTCTCTCATCGTATCCTCGATGGGACAACACCTACCTTCTCCAGAATAGATTCATTTATAATCCTGTCCTTTTCCCGTGTGCCTACTCATCCAACGAGACATTCCCATCTCACCCGCACTCATTTACTCACATTTTGATGTTCGATTGTCCAGCACTCCGTGCTATAATTAAAACTACTATATTCTAGTCCTATGTATCTAAGTTTTATTCCACGTTACTTGAACACGAGATTTCAATTGGCCTTTTATTCACGCGATCTCACTCCACTTATGACTTAGATGTAAAATAATGGACAATGAGCTAACAAAATTTCACAAAATTTTAAACGTCATGCTAACGGAAATTACACACATTCGCAATATCAGCCTTGCCTACCATAAAACAATCACCATGTCATGGCTTTCAATCTTGTTCATTTTACTTTAGTTTTTCTTTGAACTCTTTCCGGTCATGACCATCTCATCTGCATGCACAACTGTATCTACAATGACACAATCAGAGGAGGTGAAGCCAAAGCCATCCAGTTCGAAGAAAGAAAGATAGACTTATGTGTGGCCCTTGACCTCTCAAGTGTGAAGGAGAGACTTATTCTTGAACCCTAAAGTCATGAATGAGTGTTGTCTGGCAATTAATTCAGGGTTCACCAATGGCTGTGTCATTTAAACATTGGCATGATACATAATCGTCATCATCATAACAAAGAGAAAACTCAGCCGCAGAACATACTGGAGTAGACAGCGACAGCTGCTTCCCCTATCCTCCCCTTTTACGCTCGAGCACATGCTGTCTTTCCACAACATGTCCTGTTCCAAGTTTGCATGAATCTGGCTGCCATTACACGACCCCCTTGCATACAACACTTACATGGATTTCGTACCCATCACATGATGGGCCACGTGATGTGAGGTCGCCATCTTAAATCTCCCACTCGATACATCAAACAAATAATTTTCTTCCCTATTGAATTTCAGATAACGAAGTGACACGATATACATGCACATCTTGCATGTCTATATGCAGGCACGAGTAGGGTTTTTTTTCCCCACCACCATCTTCCTCTTGATGACCAAATCCATGTGATGATGCGACCTCTGTCGCTGTTTTGCTAAGTTTTCATGTCATCGTCACCCCCCATCACCTCCGTTGCCATACACACACCCACACCCGTCAGCTTGATGGTATGTCGTTCTTCGCCAACAATTCCACTTATAACTTGCATTCGAGGGCAGATGAGCAGTTGCCATTTTCATGCAAGAAAAGGGTTTCGATTAAATTCCCTGAACTTGAGTATTGGCATTGAATACATGTTGATGTGTCGAGACTCACCATCAATATCTAGGTACGCATAAGTGTTTCATGCATCTTATCTACTTCGATGTGACAAGGGGAGTGTCCAAAAGACATATATGTAACAATTATTGTTACTGCTCATGCAAATTCAACAACCTCGTGGCCAGAATGCATTTGCCACGCCACCTAATATTCAAAAGATTTGCGCTTTGAGGGTTTTAATGATTTTCAATGGAAAGCCAAAAAAATAAATGGGAGGTTTATGTTTTTTTCAATGAATGACTGGCCATTTCACCGGAAAAGATGGAGGACAGAAGGGGCCATGTTGCCAAGAGAGACCCCATTCCGGATAATAGCATTAGTAGATGAACATGTGAAAAAGAAATTAATTAACCTATTCAATTTCGTCTCTTTCCTCTCTCTCTCTCTCTCTCTCTCTCTCTCTCTCTCTCTCTCTCTCTCTCTCTCTCTCTCTTTGTTTTTCCGAATTGAATTGTCAAATATACACTTGTCATTCTCAAACTCTAATCCGACCACCCACCGACAATGAATTTAGTGTCACTCTTTTGCATTGAAATGCTCCTTGCCACTGCCCCCAATGGAATGGATGGGGCCTCATGAGCCCCTGAAAATTTGGACACTGTCCTTATTAAGCCCAACCCCACATTTCATGGACATGTTGTGGGCATATACAAAAGAGAAGAGACAGTGAGAGGAGGGAGGGGCTAAGAGGCCATAGCTCTCATGCCCCCACTCCGAGTTGGATTGATGGGGACATGATTTATTAGTGGGGAAATGAACTTTCATTCTGGTGTGGCCCCGAGTCCGAATAGGCGAACCGACACCAACAGTGACGACTCCATAGGGCACTCAGGGCCTGGTCAGAGCTCACAGGGCCTGGCCGTCGGCCGACACGGAGCAGTACCGCCCGATCGGGGACACAAGCAAGTGGGTGTGTGTACTCCGGGAGGCTCATGTACACAGGAGTCATGTGGTTTCACATGTGTTGGTGATGAGGCCTTATCAGAGGGAGGAGGATGGTCGCCAATCCTTTTGGATGTAGTACAATTCATGTAAGAGTTTGGTTGGAGATTTGTGTATAAAGTGAACAAACTTTTGCTGCTCCGATTAAGGACAAGACCATATGTGCATTATGGGAGCCATACAGACAAATGACAATGCAAACCCACTTTATTTCTTGTCATTACCTTGCAAGTACCAATGGAGGTTCTCTTGAATCTTTAATCATCGAACCTTTCGGAGGGTGACAAGGCGTTTTAGCCCAATTAGAAGTTCAGGTAACGGTCGTAGACACCTTTTGTTATGTCATGATCCTTAAATTCTGCAAAGTTTGGAAGTATTCAGAGAAACAAGAGGACCACTATATAATGAGGGTTGCAGACCAGGTCTGGGCTCAAATGACTTGGTCGAAATTTGGGTCGTAGCAAGAACTGTATATACTCACAGTCCAATGTCTACATGCAAACCCACGATTCAAACTAATTAGTGATTTCTCAAGACATGATTAGATTACACCGAGTACCTTATTTAGCTTTCCCTGCAACCACAAGTTTTAGGAAGTCAAACAAACAAAATAAGGCATTTTAAGATCACCTAGGATTTATGTATTATAAGCGGCTAGAATAAGAGTTTGTTGTCCAATTGTACTTGTAGCAATATTCGGGTATGCTTGATGTATATCTACATTCTCTCATATCTGATGTTGAGATCCTCACGTGAGATTCACTATTAGGTGAGACGACGAGGTATACAACGGATTAAAGTAAAGTGGGGGAAAATAAGAAAAACTTTTAAATCCGAGTGACTCAATGTGATTTATTTGGTGAACTAGGTTCCTTAATTTTTCTTCTTGCCATACTTTTAAGTTGCTAATCAAAACCAGACCTCAGCATACTAAAGCAGAGAACATTGAAAAAGGATGTCCTTATGGACACAGCTTTGACTTCTTGACATGGCATCCTCTAATTCAGAAAAAGAATGTGCGTTCGATCATAGTTTTCCTACACTACTTAGGCCACGCTTGATAGTTTCCTACTCAGCCTTATAACAAGAACAATAAAGTGGAACAAATTCTCTCCATGATAATACTATCTATGGATCAGTAATGAGCAATGTCCAGTGCTTCTCCAACTTAACCTGGTTTGAGCTCAACGTTTATGCCCATTAGAGTCGGAGAAGCATCAATCTCTACGAACTATAATGCAAAACTTTGCTTAGACATCTTCGCCTCTGATGACTAAGCTTGATATGCAGGGAACTGGAGCTCACATTCATTCGCCAAGAGATGACCTTGCATCAACTATTTTGGTACATGAGCTCATTTTGGCAAAGCAGAACTTGGAATATAGACTTGCGAAGTCATATTTTGTAGAAATACCCTTTGACTTGCCATTTCGGAATGTCCCCTCTGCTAGAGAACTACGAAACAACAGATCAACTTTTTCGACTGCTTGAGAGACGAAGCAAAGCTTTTAGTCTCAACTCTAGGATTTAGATTGATGAGTAACGCTAACAATACTAAGCCTCGAAGTTATAGAAGTTCTTGCAGCAGGATCAACTGCAACCCTTGCTGGAGAGTTCTGGTATAACAGAGTGACCTTTTTCAGTATGAAAAGCCAGCATGAAATATGAGTTCTGAATGAGGCATGAATGGAACTCGGGTCTATGGATCATTATAAACAAGAGAGTCCACTTCAGACAACTATAAGTCACAACCGGATATGACTGTTACTTGACAACACAGACTTAACTATTTTGGACCATCTTATGCACAACTTAACTATTTTGGACCGTCTTGCGCACACCAAGTTGAATCCACCACGCCGATCCATTCATAAGCATCTCATCATGTCAAAATTCAGTTTCATAGCTCAACCCCAATAGCAAGCAAGATTTGAACCCAAGATAACAAGTTCTTCAATACAGAGACACCCCTTTGTGGATCTAAGCATTTCAACTGAGACAAGAAAACTAGTTAATCGAAAAACCTCTCACAAGTAAAAGTTTCGCTGCTTGTTTCATGTAAAGTCTCATCACTAAAAGCAACTCAAATGGAGAAACAGCAGTTTGTCTAACACGTGGCGTATTGACATCATGCAGTTGAGAGATCTCATGTTCAATGCGTCTTTATAATGCTAGAGCTGCAGATAAACTGAATGTTTTCATAGTCCCCGTGCACAAGCTTCACTATCAAGTCTGATTTACCCCGGGTTACTTTGCTATGCTACTAGTCACTCATATTTGAGTAGAAAATCATTCAAGTTTTTGGATGCGTGCATGCATCACTCCATAGCCACAACGTTAGACAATGAAACCAGAATAGTACTAGAAGGAGAAAATAATGCTATTTAAGATTTAATAAAGAAGTATCACCAAACACCCATACAATATCCCAGAAGCAGAGGACTTCCTAATGGTATTATAGGACTCTCATTAACAAGACCATACTTGAAAAGCAGCAAGTGAAGGAAAAGAACAGGAGGAAAGGGAGGGGGATGAAGCGAGATAAAAGGAGTATCCAGCTACCAGAATTCCATGGTCCTGAGATATGACCATATTCTTCTGTTCATCCGATCAATTCAAGACAGCACAAGGATGCATAAATCGCACTACCAAAAACTTGAAACACCCTTCAGTTCATCAACCCTCTACTCAAAGGCGTCATCATCATCATCAGGAAGTGGCTGAATAGCTGCTTGAGCAAGTTCTGCCTCATGCCTGTTGGAGACAATAAAAACCACCATTGGTCAATGGACAGTTGAGAAGAGGTTTACGAACTATCAAACTAGCTACAGAATATTATTTATGTAACCCAACAAAAGAAGAGCAGATAGATCGGAGAGGCAATACACTGCTACAATTTCTGCTTTATAATACACACCGCCTCATTCTTAAGCATGGTTATTATTTATCCATGCAATTAAGTGCCTCTAGAAGAGGAAGGCCAGGATGTACAACTATATTACTATAGTAGAAAGTTATGTAAAACGAAGCACATAATAGAGTAGAGGCCAATATTCTTACTGTTGCTGTGCGGCCAAGTCAATGTGCACTTCCGGAGGAGCAAGGGCAGGAGACTCAACAAAGTGGAGGTTTGGATCCCTGCGTTTACCAAAACAAATGATTAGCTACTAGACCATAACAACTTTTGCAAACAGGATTGCACGTTTTGCTCAGGTACCCAGCAAGTTTTCTGGCAAGGTAGAGGAAGGGTTTCTCAAAGTTGTAGTTGCTCTTTGCAGAAATTTCATAGTACTGCAAATTCTTCTTCCGATGGAACGTAACCTGCTTTGCTTTAACTTGCCTATTCTTCACATCTACCTTGTTCCCACAGAGAACAATAGGTATATTCTCACAAACCCTGTAAAATTATGGGTAATTAGCGAGATATAGCACCATCAAAAAATGTAGTGCGAAAACACAGAATAAGGTACCGGTGTTTCTACTCTACCTGCAGAGATCGCGATGCCATGTAGGAACATTCTTGTATGTCAATCGAGCAGTGACATCAAACATGATAATTGCACACTGGCCATGAATGCTGCAGAACAACAAATAAAAGTTTGAAATTTCAACACACGCAGACACAGGAGGGAGAGGGATTCCCCCTCCCACGATCAAGGTTAAAAAGTGAATAACAGAAATCACCACATTCAGAAGATCACTTTACCAAGCAACCAAAAAAAAAAAAAAAAGACCGCTTTACCACTGCCAGCATTAAGTACAACATGCAGTCCGATAACATTTAAGGCCCTCCTCCTTTTTCTCCAAAATAAGATTTAAAGAATAAGGATGACCATGAAACAGATATACACTCCCTCACCAACTGCGGAATTTTTTTTGCAAAACTACTTGCTTCTTCATCCACAACTTTACAAATAACAATTGACTGCACCACTATTAAGTAATAATAGTTATCCTTAGTAAAACCCAGATAGTTAAATAAACTACCAACCAAAATATAGCTACCCTGTAATTTAAGCATTGATCCAGTACAAGCTCAACACTACATTTTCTCCCTAGCATCACCCAATTCACAAGAACGTAAACTGGAATCCGAAAATCTTTCTACTGATTCAAAAGCAAGGAACTTCGAAGAGGGAGCTCTCTTTACTCACTAATATCCATCTCTTAGACCACCAAATTTCTCCTGCCCTGCAGTATCCCAGCAGTAAAACCGGATTTTCCCGCAGTTTGTGAAGAAATCCAACGGATGGACTTCGACACCAATAGTTGCTGTTATGCGCAAGGACAATACCAGAAGATTAGTACAGAAAAAACAAAATGATAAATCTAACGACCACAAAAAAAATAAAAAAACATAATCAGCCATTTCCACATCACTTACGCTCGTATTTCTTTTCAAACTCCCCAGTAAGATGTCTCTTCACGAAAGTCGTTTTACCTGCACAAAGGAATAGACTACGCTCAGCCTGCTATCCATTGCCTGACACTAGAAAGAAAAGATACACCTCATGGCTTCTACCATCATGACAAATGAAGAAGATCGCAAAACCACTTTTCCTCTGACACCCTTCGACTTCATACAAATCCCCAGAAACTGTGTAAAAACATACCGTTCGCTACTTCGAATGGTAAATCCTCCATTTTTAAGGACATAACCACGAGCACGTGTCATTTTCCCGATCCCGACCCGTAAAATAACTACAGCAAACCCTAATTCATCACAACAGCATACGCACCCTGCTACGCACACAGAGCAACGAGCAATCCTCGCCATTTTCTTCGAACCAATCGCATCAAAACCAGTAAAAAAAAAAAGCAGAGCACGCCGGCGACAAATTACCTGTGCCTCCATCGCCGACAATGACGAGCTTGAAGCTCGGGTAATCAACGGTCTGCTGATTCGGCAAAGCCTGAAAGAGGAGACACGCCAAGGGAAACAAAACACAAACGAGATCAAAATCCAAACTTTGCGATCACGTAACCAGATCGCTTCAGCTCCAAGAACACCCCCCAAGAAAAACACGCAACCAGGACCCAAAACCTCGACAAGAACGACAAAGAGGATCCAGATTCAAGAAGACCCAGAAACCCAGAAGGCCCAAGATATCAACAACAACAACAACGAAACCCGCAGACAAATGGGACGACGGGAAGGCAAGAACACCAAGCGAACGAGCTCACCATCGACGATGGCGAAAAGGGTCGGGCTTTCGGTGGCTTGCAGAGGCGGAGAGACGGACTCGAATGCGTTCGGAGCAGCGAACCGTACTTAGCGTAGTGGGAGAGGAGAGGAGAGGAGAGACAGCTGCGTAGGTTTTGATGGGCGATGGGGGTGGTTTTAAGAGGGGAGTGAAGCGACGGTGGGCAAGAGGAACGAGAGAGCAGAAAGGACTTCGAGATTTTTTTTCTTTCTTTCTTTTCTTTGCTTTGCTTTGCTGGTCGAACGTGGCTTTAAGCTGACGCTGCTGTCTCCTCCGTTGGATTCGATTTACTTTCTCGGCGGCAGCGTTCTAGAATCTGTTGACCGTCCGATCTGTACGGACACCTGTCGCTGCCCCCACATCCCATGGTTTTAAAATTTGAAAACAAATGGTACAAAGGATGCCTAAATTTTGTCGGACATGGTATCTGCACCGTGGCTCAATATGTAACATGATTAATGAATTTTAAATTTATTTAATAGAATTTTTGAAAATTTTGATACATATTTAATTTAGTCTCTGAATTATCTTTGATTTTGAATTAATGTAAGAATAATATATGATATTTTCATATGATTTGGAGACTAGATTAAATATGTATCCAAAGTTCAGTAATCTTATCGAACAAATTAAAAATTGAGGGGTCACGTTACTTATTTAACTAAAGTTTAAGGATTATTTGTGTAATTTTTCCTTAAAATTTCAAGGGAGCGAGGAGGAAATTTGTAAGGAAAATTAAACAGGAATTCAAAATTCCTCAGTCCTTCGTATCACAAAAAAAAAAAATTCAATTTTGGTCGAGTTCCTTCCCTGGTTCCGAGACAGAGTGAGGGGAATGAGAATTTGAATGAAAAAGCGAGAAAAAAGATTAAATTTTTAATGAGAATTAATTGTTTTTTACTCTTCTTTAAATTGCTTGCCAAACAAGGCCTTGTGGCAGGGTATATCTTTAATCAATTCCGGCACGCTAAATCGTATGATTCCTTATCGGGGATAAGACTGTCCACACCGAAATGATGGAATTCATAGAAACTGAAATTAGAAAGTGTCTTAGGGCCGTTGATGAAGTTCAACTTTTGCAAGGCCATCGAAATGTAGGCCATCGAATTGAAGAGATTAGATATCCAAACATTACGCCTATCAAATCATTGGAGTCGGGTCGAAAATGGTCGGACCCACATTGACCCATAAAATCCATACCCAACAATAACCCTTATTGTCAAAACACTTTCATATTCAATTAAATTCAGGAAAACTCAAATTTAGACTGAGGGGAAAGTGAAGAGTGAGTAAGCGCAAGGTCAAGTCGGGGCAAGAAAAAGTGAAGACGAATTCATAAAGGTGAGTTGGATCTCAGTGACTCATGTTACTCTGGGTTTTATCATTTCAAATTTATTTATGACCCATTTTTGACAATCTACTAAATGTTGGACAATAAAGTATTGTCTATTGTCAAACCAAAAACGACTCGTTATCAATTGTCGAATGCGTAAGGACAAAGTTACGCTGAAATTCTCCCAAAGACACTAAAGCAAGAAATTGATTTTAAGGCACGAAGCATGACATTGTTCAATGTTCGTAAGGCCTCCGATGATCCATGCTTTCTCCGTCGAAGTTCTTTGCAACTTTCCTCATGCCATGCGACTATGCCGGTGCATTTCACGATATGAATCTTGATAGCATGTGTAATGATTTGTCACGTTTTCTTTGAGAAAATTATATCACTGAGTTCTCAATCCTATGCGTGAAATACATTTGAATTCTAAATCTTTGAATTGATTTGATCAAGCCCTAAACCATGCCATAAAGTACAATCGAGCCATAAATATTTCCCTCGGCCAATTAAGAGCCGGCCCTAGTGACTACAAGGTACAATAAAGTCCTAAGCCGAGATAAGAACCAATTGTCTAAAAAAATGTGTGGTTAAGTATCAATATATGTTTACCGAAACTGAAGGTTAATTCGATAAATCAACTGAAAAACAACTAAGAATTTTAGCAAAACAAAAAAGGTGAAAAATAAATCTCATCCCCATATAGAATTCCAAAATCAAAGGGCGCGGGCTGAAACGACCTGCCGTCTCGAATAGGGGTGATCGGTTCCCGATCCGGTCTAATAGAACTAATCACTTTTATATTTTTTTCTATCACAATGAGAGAAAGTAATAAATCTCAACATATTGACGGAAGCGACGATGAATGAAGAGTTATTATGGTGCGACGACAGGGGAAAAGTATTGTATGTGGATTCAATTCACATTTTATTAACTTTTTTGAAGAAATAAAAACTAAAAAAAAATATATGTAGTCGGTCCGGGGAAACCGGATCGCCCGGATACCGGTTTCATTTTTAGGAATCGAAAATCGGATCAACACTCTAGGAACCGAACCAAACCGGCTGATCCGGTCCGATCCGGGCGGCTCATTTTGCGCACCCGTAATCTCTAAATGCTCATTACCGTCTCCAAACCCAAGAAAAACCGCTTCGCTAGCGCCAGCAGTAATAGAAAAAACCAAACATCATTCAGATCTCTGAATTCTAAACGCGCAAAACTCTTCTCTGGTTCGCAAGAACACCTTTCCTTCCTCCACAAATCTCTCCATCAAGCACCCGCGTGCATTCATCAATCTCTCTCGAGCATCGAATGGCCTCGCCGTCCGACACCTCCAACCAGTAAAGTTCTCAAATTTGCGTCTCTTCGAAGCTCAAAGTCTGCATCTTTCTTGTACAATCTGAATTGATCGATTGTGTTCACTTGTGGGTATTTTTTTGTTTTTGTGATTTGAAGGGAGGCCGTCGTTAGGAAGCAAAGCAAAGGAGCCCCATTTAAGTTCTTAGTCCCTCTTATATACGCCCCTGTTCTTCCTCTCAGTACGTACAATTGTTGGAGCTTGATTTGTCGAATGAATTTCGTGGTTTTCGATCGTTTGTGTCATATCCCATCTGGGTTTTGCTTATTGGGTTGGTGTTGCTTCGTTTTGGAATCTGATTTCGCAGTTCGGCTCTCGTTGAGGAAGAACCCGGTGGTGAGGGATCGTTTGTTTACCCTCGTCTTAGCTGGGGCTTTTGCTCATGGGTTTTACTTGGTGTATCCTTTTTCCTTTCATTCTTTTTTGGTTGCGATCTCCCGCCTTCAGCTGTTATATGTTCATGATATTGATTCATTGTGATCTTAAAGCATTTGTCTTTGAAGTATGTTGAGATTTTCTGCCACTCCTCTTTTATGGATGAATGCATTAGTAATTTCCATTGTATCCATTTATTACCGTCTATTGCCGATTGAACCATCAACTGTTTGTAATTGCATAGGATCTGGAAAATGGTGGTGTCTTCGTTTGTACAAGATGTTAATTCCTTGCTTAATAGGAGTCTCATTACAGGAGGTTACTACTAGATGCATGTCTTGTAGTGATTCTGAGTGAGCAGATTCAACCTGATGATCTTAGTGAACGGAGGATTTGCTTGATAAGGCACAAAACCTTCGATGTTAATGGCCTTGTCTCCCTGTTGATCCCTTGACAAACTTTGGTATACATGCTCTAAGCGAGTTTAGAAAACCGTTTCAAAGAACTAGTGATTGAGTTCCTTAGAGCGCCTTTGGATAATTGGGTGGTAGCCAATAGGTTTTGAATACTTGTCACTGTGAAATCAAGTCTTTACTCACAAACCATGAGAGAATGTTTTCCTAAGTGATGAGCTCTTTCTTTCTAAAAAAAAAGTATTTTTCTTCAAATGTATGTCAAGGTCTTCCCAGGATGTTGGCATGTAAGGTCTTCAATCTTCTGCTGTGGATGATTTAAAGATGTGAACCGAGGCTCCATTTGTTTTGCTAAAAATGAATGATTTGGAAAACATTTTCCTAAAAATGACTACTCATATCGCTTACAAAAATTAATGAACGAAAAATATTCTCATCTTCAACTATGGTTAGATATAAATTGCTGTCTGGAATGAAAATATTTTCTAATGATTAATTATTTCAAGCGATACAAGCAATTATTTTTAGGAAAATGTTTTTCAAATCACTTGTTTTCCGCGAAACAAATGGAGCCTAAGATACAGTTTCTTTCAATATATGGCAAGGAGTTTTTGGCTGAAATCTGTAGGTATGAGGAGCCTTGTCTTCTATTGTTCGATTGGGTTGTCATTTCCATCCCCATCTTCTCATATTTTTAATCAATCTCTCTGCCCTGCCTTATATGTAGATGTTGCTTTCCTGCAGTTGTCCCTCATTGTGTTTGTAGCTTAGCAATGAGAAAGTCACCTGCAATTTTGAAGAAGTTGTCCTTTGCATTCCACTATAGCTTGTAAAATTACTATAATTCATGGAACTAGGGTGCTGTTATAACCTTCTGAGATCAACCGAAGATTCTATAATCTATTGTTTTATATGGTTCTTTCAATAGTATTGTTGCTTTTCCTTAATAAACATGTGCAGTACGGACATATATGACGCTGAAAGCAAGTGATGCGGGGAGCTTGAAGACGGAGTACAAAATAGTCCTCACATGTTTTTAATATTGGCCAATCCATTCTTACCCACCCTGGTGCGTGTTAGCACTCAAAATTTTTGCAGGATCATATTTTAAGTAATGTTGTACTCCTATTTTTTGGTTGTGGTAGGGGATCTTGGGAATTGGGGCCCAATCATGATATAGAGACTTACTGATGTTTTGAATAAATGACCAGCTCTTGCTGATTCACCAGGTTTAATTATAAGTTCTGTCATCCTCGGTTAGGTCTCTAGCCTCCCTTCACTGGCTTGACTATTTAGACAAACTTTGTGCAGAGTGTCACGGTGTCTAGAGGATTGAGGATTGATTTCTTGGTTTAGGTGAGTACTTTAGTTTTGCGAATGAGATAGTCTCTGCTGGCTCTCTTGTTACTCAATTGTATGCAGATACATGCATTGCCCATATGTCTACATGCGTGCGCTGTGTTTTTGGGTCATCATAGAATTGAAAGGCCAGCTTGTGAACTCTTGCGTTTCCTTAATAGAAAAACCATTGAGCTGGAGGCACTGCCCACTTGCCTGCATTCATTTTACTTGCCTTCTGTGAATCACCCGTTCCTACTCATCTTGCTTGCTTGTATTACGGGACTCCCATGCATCGTACATGGTACACGCAAGAACCCGCAAATGAATTCACCATCCAGTTGACTTTTCTCCTCAGTTTACACCTTTGGAGGAAAAGAACTTATTTACACAAGCATTGATGCCAAGGTCTCTGCAACCGTTAAACGGTGCCTGCAAAGATCTGAGCGTCTCGGACATGTACCATCATTCACAATGGCGAGTGTAACTTGTGATGAGAGTAGAGAGTTTGAAGACATGGGAGCCCCCCGTGCAATAGGTCGAGCAGTCGAAAGCACTTGCAGGTCAGAGAATGTTTCCTGTGGAAAGAGACATCTGCAATTTGCTCTCTGGGAGGGCAAATTGAACTCACTATGTAACTCTGTTCAGCTCATGAATCTGACAGAGATAGGTTCATTGCATTCATCTCCACTTCTTAATGATGCCAAAATAGAGCTCGTAACACCAATTCAATCGTCCTCTTCCGTCAAATTGGACGTCTCTTTCCACAAAGTTGCACAACAGATGGAAACCCAGGCCCTCTCATGTCCATTTTGACCCGAGACCGCAAAGCTCGCTTCGAATGAGAAACAGTACAGCTGTACTTGTACCTACATTCATGTACACGTATACATGTACGTGTAGGATTAGATCATAGAGTGCAATCCTTCATCAGCATTATGCGTGGATTGTATTACTACAAGATCGAATACAAAGTTTGCGGTACATCTCTTATATAACCCGTGTTAACATGAAGGATTCATTTAAGATTGACATTCGAGCACTTGTTAAACGATCAAATTAGAAAATATTAAGGTGCTCGGTATGCTGACTTTTCTTATGATATGTGTAATTACTGCCTTAGAAATCAAAGGGCGTGTTAGAACATAAAATCTTTCGAATTTAGATATTTTTTCAGCACGAAATACTTAAAAATTTCGCGATGGACAGATGTTAGCACGCAAGTTCTCGGACAGTTTTTCTTGATAAGTGCCCGACAATGGTTAACATGACTCACATATTTCAATACACATCAACATCATGACTTATTAACTACGGTTGGTTTATAAAATTAACTTGAGAGTGAGATCCAATCTTAAGAGCAAACAAATAACGACACCAAAAGGTGACCCATTCCACTAAACATCAAGATAATTGATCGACTCAAATTTGATAAATCATCATATTCAACTATATATGACCTACCCTTCTTATCATCTCTTTAAATAATTCATAAACTCGAGATCAACACAACCCGTCGTCATCTATGGGTCCGTCGCGGTCGGATTGAAAATAGAAGGATGAATGCCCAAATTATTGAATGATCACATAGAGTGGTCAATATTCAAACTATACTAAGCATTAATTATGTACATTTCCTCAATTTTTAAATTGACTAATCGGTGATTACAAAGATTGATCCACCCCATTTCACGAAACTTCAACTGTCCTTGCATCACTACATCCCCCCAATAATTCAGAATTATATGGCTCAGAACAACACCTGGCCTCTAACCTAAAAAACAAATTCGACAATAAAGGAAGAAAAAAAATCGAAAGAGTGTGTCCTAAGATATTGTACAAGGACCATCATACAAGATGTTAACACGGTCCGGTCCGGCCCCTGCCGGGCTGGATTACAGATCGGTCCGGTCCCCGAAGTCCGAAGCCAGCCGGGACGCGATGGCGGAGTGATACATCGGGTCGTGGAGGGACGCCGCGTCGGAGGTCATGAGCCTGAGGAGCCGCGCCTTCTCCTCCGTGAACCGGATCGGGTCCGGGCGGCACCTCGCGGGCTTCGCGTCGGCCGTCCCGGGGTAGGCGACCTTGTCGTCGGCGGGGCCAATGTAGCCCGGCTCGGCGGAGAAGCCGAATATCGGGGCCCACCAGCTGCTGCTGCTGCTGTTGGAGTTGGAGGAGGAGGAGGAGGAGGGGGGGCTTCGCCGGCCGGTAGGGCCCGGCTTGCGCTCGGCGGAGGAGGAGGCCGCGGCCTTGACGGAGATGGGCCTGCAGGGGATGAGACCGGCGGCGGCCATTACGGCGGCGGCGGCGGAGCGTGCGAGAGGCTGCGGAAGGAAGAGATGGAGAGAGGAGGAGGAGGAGGAGGTTGGTCGTCGTTTTAACGGTAAACCTGACTGGTGTTTCTTCCGTTGTTGCACTTCCTCTTGGGGCTGGCTTTTATAGAGGGGAGGAAGGGGAGGGAAGAAAGGGGGATAAGACTGACACGTGGAAGTGACCGGGGGGGCGCGCGTTACGAGGGGATCATTCGCCTCTTCGTTGATTTCGAATTCGATGCGAAATTGAAAATACTAGGCAAAAGGAAACGTATGCTACCAGAGAAAAATATTATGAACGATATTGAGATTTCGAACTGATATTGATCTCAACTTCATCTATTCATGGTATTTACGGATGACTAATTGTGCAACACGATTCGTTAATTTCTTTTTTCTTGCACTGATAAGTGATTAATCTAGTGATAATGTCCGCGTTGGACGCCTTTCTCTCATGGTGTTCAATCCGGGTGTGTTTGCTTTTCTTATTTAGTGATAATGTGACTAACAAACTCTTGACCACCCCGTCAAGGACGTTTAAGGTGAGTGGCCGGGGTTGACCATTTTTCAAATACGCGGGAGACGGGAGTGATTTTCTTCTCAATTTCGTTCATTTTTTCCAAGCCAAACTTAGGGTTTCTTCACTTTGATTTGATTTTATGGAGAACGGGTGATGCTTTCCCATGATTTGCCTCGATGGTGATGGCGATACGGTACACGAAATTAACCTGAATCTTGCCGCGAAGTGGACATAATACAACTTTAAGTACATAGAAGTAGAGCCACTACGTAATTAACTTACAATAATAAACAAAGTCCAAGATTAGAAAATATGACTTAACATCACACGTGGTTGTGATCATTTATATTATTCAGGTGTAACGGGACGTTAGAATTACGTCGACCCACTGACATAACTCGGTGGCGTCCAAGGTTGTAGGCACTCAAATTCATTGAAAAAAGCGGGGAAAGAGAAAGAATCATAAACGGCCCGAAACTGAGTAGCTTTTCCAAATTACGATCTTCCTTCGAACCTCAATAAGGGATATTGAAATTTGTAAATAACCGACTCACCAGGCAAATTTGCGCACTCTGAGATATTAGGAGGAACGGCGAATTGGTGATTACAGCAGCAGTTATTTAAATGTTTTCTCTTGATCGATCGATTCATTCAAAGTCATATTCAGGGTAGGTTTATTTAACTGAATGAAAATCATTCTTCATTTATTTCATCGTTTAGGAAAAGTGATTTTCTTCTGACAAAAAAGAGAAGTCGTTTTTCCTCAAATCTGAGCTCGTTTTGTTTCGGCTCATTAAACAATATTTTCTGCAAATCGATTAATTTTCCCGTCATTTAAATATCGAGAAGCCGGAAAATAATAATTTCTCGAAAATAAATTTTCGTTCGGGCAAAACGGAGTTTCAAAGTGGCCAGGCAGGATTCTCTTTGAAACTTGGGCATATTCCCTAGGCGGCCTGGCCGCTTGTCCCCATTGGTCAAAGGATTGGTCGACGGATATGGACGTAGTAGATGAGATGGAGCGCATACGACACGCACGTGAGCATTTTCTACGAAGGAGGGGGGGGCTCTGGGCGGCGACGTCACGTGCCGCGTGGACTCCTATTTTGTACCCTAATCACTCGGGAACAGTTTCAACGAGCTTTCCCTTTGGAGGGAATATCTTCATCCCCCTTTTGGTCAAAAAAAAAAAAATTTGGAAAAATAAAAAAACACATGCGCCGATAGGTTCGAGCGGGCCCCACGGGATCCCGAGGGAAAGAAAGCGATATCGGGGGACTGAGTCTGAAGCGTGCGTCGCAAGTAAATTGCATATTTGTTCAATTTGAATACGGATATAATCGTCAATTGTTTCGAACGCGGAGAAAAAAGAGGCAAACTTAAAGGGTTAGAATAAGGCGATCATTCGGTATAGCTAGCAAGCGGTTAGCTTCTAGTGAGAATCGGCTCTTCTGTATGATGCTTGAAATCATCAATTCCTCCATCGCTAGTCGAGGAAACTTCCTCCGATCGATTCTCCAATCAACCTTCCGATTGACTGGTTTACGGGTACGGGTATCACCCCGCAAGCAAATTTAAGTAAATATATAAAGCATGGGTGATGTTTTTTTTTTGGTAACCCAGGGAACCCATGCACGGCCGACAGCCGGGAGGTAAACCCTGGGGGCGACACGTGCTAGCCACCACACACGTGCACCGGTTAAGTCACCCTGCGGCGCTCCGGATTTGAACATCCAACCTTTTGCGAGAAGAAGAGTGCCCTTTCCAGCAGCACTACCCAGGCGGGTGGTAAGCAAGGGTGATGTTGATGTTCACTTCTGTCAAGAATTATTCTGAGTAAAGCTTTTCCCTCCCCCACTCACTTTTGGGGCCTTGGGCTGTTCTTCAAACATGGCAAAAAGAAAGAACAAAAAGGTGGAAAGCAAAGGTTTTGTCAGATGGCCTAAGCCCTTTTGTTTGGGCCGGAGATGGCCTCAAGCTTCACGAATGGAGGGGGGGTTGTAGAGGAGCGGGCAGCTGATTTGGCCCAAGTTTAGGAGACAAACAAGCTGAGAAATGATGGCTTTGTGATTTCCTCCCCTGGGGCTCTCTTTTGAAGTGCTTCCTGAGACCCAAGCTTGTTTGCCCCAATTTCACAATTGATATGGTACATGGAAATCAAATTAAGATGTCGGTATCCGATCGCGACCGAAAAGCACGTGATATAAGGGCAAACGCCCCTCCCGCCGTCCTTCGCTCCACTCCGGTCGGGACTCCCGCCGTCTGCAGACACGGCGCGCTCATGCTAGCTCTCTCGGTTTCCAGACGATGGCGTGATGTTCGATAATCGTTCCATACTTTATAGGAAAGTGTTTTTTCAGGAAAGACTTGTGATTGTTGTTTCTTTCGGGCCCTTGATTAAATTGGGGTTTCACGTTTCAGTCCATCTCGTAGTCATGTAGAAGCTCCTGGTGGATTGGGCCGGCCATACATGGAATCCTAGCACACCAAATAAGCTTACATTCTCTTGATTTTGTTTTCTTTTTGGCTTCACAATAATCGTACCAACATTTGACTAAATAATATGAAACGACCGCCGATGTTGTGTATAATAAAGTGACCACCTTCATTTAATATCTCTCCAGGGCATATCCAAATCGGGTTTAATTCGAAAGCGATGCATAGAGGTGCACCAACTTGATTCTTGGATGTTTTGGAGGAAAAGAATGTGTAATGTCCACCCTGTTTTCGTCGTTTCGATTGATGAACCCAAGTTGGATGTCAGCCTAGTTTGGCTCGAAATCACGTCCGCTATGGCCGATCGTTGTCACTTTGGCATGGGGTCGATGTCTGGTCCACACTGACCCAATTGATGACCACGTCCACTATCCACATGCACTCACACATCGTCTCTTTCACCTTATATTGTCATTGTGTTTCTCGGGGGGGACTCAATAATTGGTGGACCAACGACCCCATGAATCTCCGGTGCTGAGGGATGTGACCTAATCTTTCTAGGATGCATGGATTCTCCACGCCTTCCGCATCACCACTAATCCCATGATCTCGCATCGTCAATGGTCCCTGTTCTTAGCTGCATGCATTTGTCCCCCACATAAGGAATAGGAAGGTTGAGCGGCAAGGTATGAAAAAAAATGGCATTTGATTACGTTCACGTATCGGTCTGCCAATTACTGGACCATGGCGGTCATGTTGAGCTCAGTTGCATCGAAGACGACAATGACGGCGGCGATAACGTGTTATAACCGGTGAATTCCCATCCACAAATAATCCGGGATCGATTTTTGGATAAGGTGCGTTTAGTACTTGTCAATGCTTGCGCGCTACCCTCATTATATGTAAAGATAGAGATTGATTGCTCCAATCCCTATTTACATTTGGATCTATTTTCCAAGTGTAAATATGGATCTCTACCTTTTCATACAATCAATCCCTATTTACGTTTGGATTTGTATTCCAAAGGTTTGGATCTGCATTCCAATCTCTATTTACGTTTGGTTTAGTACTTGTCAATGTTCGTGTTCTACACTCATTATATGTAAAGATAGAGATTGATTGCTCCAATCCCTATTTACGTTTGGATCTATATTCCTTCAATGTGTTGTGGTCTTTCATTTACAATGCATGATTCTCGAGGGTCAGTTCTACTAGTTTCTTGTTTTCACGCCCATCTTTGATGCATTTGAGGCATAACAAAACATGTACAAAAATTGAGCAAATGCTTATTTATGAGGAATAATGACACAAATAGTCCTTAAAGCTCAATGTGCAATGTGGTTACTCAACTTTTAATTTGTTCAATATAGTCTCTGAACTTTAGTCTAATGCTCAATGTGGTCTCCGAACTTTTAATTTATTCAATATAGTTCATGAACTTTTGGTACATGTTCAATGTAGTCCCTAAACTATATAAGAATGTTTAATGTAATCTTTCCATTATTTCAAGATCAGAGATAATATTGAAAATTTTCATATAATCTATAGATTAAATTGAACATGTACAAAAAGTTCATGGACTACATTGAACTAATTAAAAGTTTAGGGATCACATCACACATTGAGTCAAAATACATTATCATTTGTGTCATTTTCCCTATTTACAACTACACTAATGATTGCCTCCAAGTTCAGTCCAATGCTCTCGCTGGTTTTACCGCACATGGATGGACCCGACAGCATCCAAAAAGAGGGTACCATTAGGCAGACATTGTGACCATCATGGCTAATCTTAGGTTTCTTTGTTCCAAGAAATGCGAAACCCCCACCTTCCCATGAACAATAGACCCTATAATTAGAGTCCTCTTTTCTTTAGATGTGTGCCATTATTGGGGGTCTCTAGTTCACTAATTATGTTGGCACATTATTAAATAGGACCTAAGTTGAGAAATCCCTTTGTCGGTCTCGTGCTAGTGGGTTAGGGGGAATCCTCCAATCGATTTGGTCTCTCCCTCTACAGAAAGGTAATTTTTGCTTGAAATTGAGAGCTTGCTTTGCTTTTTTCTTTGTTTTACTTTTCTGACAGTG